CTCTCTCTCGTGGCACGATCTTCTGGTGAGGGGGATAACTCTCGCTTTGATCGAGTGCGACGTTTGCGATGTGGCTACCAACCAGAACAAATCCAGGACGCCGTGCAATCGCTACACCACAAACGATGTCGTACCAACCGTGACGCGCGGTTGATGATCCCTACAATGCAAACGAGAGAACACTGCAAGAACAAGATAAGATGCAATCTAAATATTGCGAATAGGGAATTAAGCACAAAGGAATAGTTGCGATTGAAGTGGTAGATCTAATCGACCCGGCAAATCAACACACTAACTATTGGGGGCTCTGAATCTATAGTCGCCGACTAATCGAGCAAGGACTAGAGACAAGGTGAATGGCACTTGGCAAAATTCAACTAAACAAAACCCAATTGTTTTTGAGGATGTACAAAGTTATTTATAGAGGAAAATAAAGCTAGGGTTAAGTGCTAATTCGTGGAGGTGGATGGGTAGTCAAGCCAAGCTTCTTGACCATCTCTTCACTTGCTAAATTGTTGCAACTCCCGCTATCAATAATCATTTTGACGGTATGGTCTTTCACAAGAACTTTGCTTTGGAACAAATTGTGACATTGGTTTTGCTCTTCACACTTCTCTTTAGCACTAAGTGCTAGCTTGACAATTAGGCTAGGATACTGATCTAGCGACTCTGGATGCAAATGGACTTCCTCGATGTCATCATTATCTTGTCCTCCTGCGTGGTCAGTGGCAGCTAAAGCATATTCATCATCACAATCACTAGTAGAAGTATACTCACCATCATCATTCACAAATAGAGCTCGCCGATTTGGACAGTCACGTGCAATGTGTCCAATGCCATGGCACTTATGACATGTAATATCACGGGTACGTCCAGTGGAAGCTACTGAAGTTGCACTCTTGGCTGGAGTCTGAACTGAAGCGTTTTTGCTTTTTTCTTGAGCATTGGATGGCGTAGAAGTAGGTGAACGAACGGCAGTAGTAGCTTGACGTGGTGTTGACTGTCGTGTGGAAGTAGCACCTGCAAAAGAACTTCTATGCTTGTTGCGTCCCTGCACTTCTCTTTCAGCTTTGCATGCAAAATGGAATAATCTATTCATGGTATTGTATTCTTTATATTCAAGAATATCCCGAATCTCTCTATTAAGACTTCCATAGAACCTAGAAATTCTAGCATCCTCAGTTTCTTGCAAATCACATCGTGACAAAGCAATCATCATCTCTTGATAGTATGTTTCTACAGAATTGGAACATTGTCTTAAAAGTTGCAGTTTATTTAACATGTCACGAGCATAGTAAGAAGGAACAAATCTAGACCTCATTGTACGTTTCATATCATCCCATGTTCTAGGTCTAAGTCCTCTACCACATATATTATTCCACCATAGAGATGCAAAGGAGGTAAATTCACTACTGGCAGCTTTAACTTTCTTATTATCAGGAAAATCATAGCAAGAGAATTTTTGCTCAACAGCTAACTCCCAATCTAGATAAACAGAAGGCTCAAACTTACCATCAAAAGAAGGCATAGTAAATTTTACCTTAGATAAAGGATCATCTTTGTCCCTAACTCGACGTTGTCTTCTATTTCCAACACTCTCGTCTTCCTCCACATCATCAGCAACAGATTGCTCTTCGTCTTCATCGTCATATCTTTGGTGTCGATGAGCAGTGGCACCTGCACCTTCTTCACCTGCAGCCTCAAGTAAACCAATGCGTCGCACAATATTTTCATGTTCAATAATCATATTCTGAATGTTTTCAGTTAATTGTTTATGTGATTGATTCATTTTCTCAATTTGATCCACTACTTTCACCAGGCTTTCACTTAAGGTTTTTAAATGTTTATCTGTGCTTTCCTTGTATGATTTACTATTACGCATCAACTCTTCATACCAATTTTCCATACCCTTCAGTTTATGCGCTAGATTCTCCAGTGTTGGTTCGTCGGAACTTGTACCTGACATCGTTAGCAAGCAAAAGAAACTCACAAGAAAGTGTCAGTTCCTAACAATCTATATATATGTGGAGCTTTTGAAGGCACTCAACACTCAAGCATATACCAAATTCTTATAATATTCTCAAAGAATGCAAAACAGGTCAATCACCGTGGCTGGTTCGTGGCACAATGACACGCTTGATGAGTGGAGCAATTGCAAGGCCGGACCTGTAAAGGTTAGGAGTATGTGGATCTTGGTAGGCTTAACTATATCACAAGGAATAGCAAAAATCAAACAGATTTGCGAAATTGAATAATAGTCCAAAGTACTAGTCAAAATTGCTGGCGTAGCCTAGACTCAATCCTAGCTTAAGCAAGCAAATGATCACACTCGGACAATCCACAACTCGCTATAGTAAGCAACTCTCTCCAAGATTCCAACAAAAAAAATTCCACTCTTTCTTTTTCTGATTTTTTTTCTCTTTTTTTCTGTTTTTTCTTTGGTGCGGCTCTTTTTTTCTTTTTTTTTCTTTTTTTTTTTTGCACCTTCTGCCTTTTCTTTATTTCTTTTTTTTTTGGCAAGCGGTATCTACCAAATGGAATAGCTGGTAAATAAGATTACAAAGGACTCAAGCCTAGAAGAAAAAAAAATCAAATGACCAAAGACCAACCAACCAGGTGCTTGTGCGTGTGAATGTGTAGTTACAGAGAAAACTACGTACCTCCTATTTGGGTGGTGCCAGGAATATGGAAACCGATCCTTGGCACATGCACTTCGGATAGACACAGAAACTAACTAGGAAATAACCAAGATTAGTCCCTGATTTGAGGCGCTATTTATTTGGTAACCACGTACCGCGATTCCATGCATGCATGCACTGGAAAGAAATCTCACCCAACAGAAACTCTGGATTTTTTTTCTCTCAAACCGATCTACTGCTCAACCGAGACGACGACGACCAAATGCAAAGCTCAAAACTCAGACTGAGCTACGACTAAAACCAGCACTTTCGACACGACAATGGACCAAAACTCAAGAACACAATACTGAATGAAATTTGAAAGGCTCAAACTAAAGTTTGGTGATGGAAAAAAATATTGCGGCTGTATGGTAGACGATGGGAAAAAAATTACAAAACTAAAATCCTCACCAAGCAACTGAAGCTCTGATACCAACTGATGACGCTCTCTCTCGTGGCCCGATCTTCTGGTGAGGGGGATAACTCTCGCTTTGATCGAGTGCGACGTTTGCGATGTGGCTACCAACCAGAACAAATCCAGGACGCCGTGCAATCGCTACACCACAAACGATGTCGTACCAACCGTGACGCGCGGTTGATGATCCCTGCAATGCAAACGAGAGAACACTGCAAGAACAAGATAAGATGCAATCTAAATATTGCAAATAGGGAATTAAGCACAAAGGAATAGTTGCGATTGAAGTGGTAGATCTAATCGACCCGGCAAATCAACACACCAACTATTGGGGGCTCTGAATCTATAGTCGCCGACTAATCGAGCGAGGACTAGAGACAAGGTGAATGGCACTTGGCAAAATTCAACTAAACAAAACCCAATTGTTTTTGAGGATATACAAAGTTATTTATAGAGGAAAATAAAGCTAGGGTTAAGTGCTAATTTGTGGAGGTGGAGGGAGACACTTCCGGGATGGGCCTAGTCTATTACAAGGCCCAAGGCCCAAGTTCGGTTTCAGCAACAGCACTGTCTTATTTTGGTGATTCCCGTTGACTCGAGATGAATTTGGACATGAGACCGGATGCGTTTGAAAGGTAGCGAGATAAGATTTCCACGAAGTCCAAGATCACCCAAATCGGAGATAGCATGAAGGCGCTAGGTCCGTTTGAAGTCAGTGCTGTCTCCGGAGGCCGAACTGGTCTTGGACTTGAAATTATTATTGGAGCGTGTGAAGTTACGAGCGTATCCGACGAAGTGATGTCCTCATCAACAGGTGGTGTTTACATACTACACCTCCGATTTTAATAAAAGAGTAGAATATTACTGCTACTTTGATCACTCAATTACTTAACTCTGGTAAAGAAAACGTAACCTATTTTCGGCAGCATTTATTTGAATCGATCAACTGTACTACCAAGGGCCTATAAAAATTAAGGATTTGCATGGGGTACGAATTTCATGACCCCGCGTACAAGTTAATTTTCACATACGGCTCTTTCGAGAAATCATCCATCAAAATAAGTTCTAGTTGCCCAAAAAAATATTTTGTATTTTAATAGGCATAGAGTATTGTTCTTTGGGAAGCGCTAAAAGTTTCCAGCATCTGACACATCCTTTCCTAGCTGATCGACTCCATCCCACTCCTGTTTTTACACATTTTGGCGAGGCGTATATAAATCGGACACCCGTTTTTTTAAAAAAATCGGGGTTGTTCCACCAAATAGATCGGAATTGTTTCACTACGTTGATTGAAAATGGTCCAATCGTTTAAAAAGCTTAAATACAACCAAATCACCTCATAAAACATTTTGCTACAGCGCATGAAACAACGGTTTTTGAAGCTATTTCACCGCATATAAAAATAATGTTTCAGCAAATAGCGAAAGGATGTTTCAATTCTCTGCAACATTTGATCTATACATAGTGTAACAATACGAATATACTTGTTGAAACATTATTGGTGAAAAAAAAATGAAACGGATTCCTGTTAATAGAGTGTTTCCGTAATATGTGGCAGATTTATTGCAACAGTGCGTGTGGTGGGGCGCGTGGTGGACGGAGGCGCGGTGCCCCATTTTTTTCGGCGCGGAGGCGCGGGCACCCGATTTGAAGAATTTTCAGACATTCTGGGTAAGAGAATTTGGTCTGTAGTAACAAGTTTTGCCACGCATATTATCCACTTTCCCATGAGTGCTTTGTTCATGACTTTCTGGTCTTATCACCTCTTCAGCTCTTCTCCCATTTCTTTCTCTTAATAATTAGGGACCAGTCCGCCGTATCAACGTTTACCGTTTCTTCTTTGCCATGTGCTTAATTAAGTCCATGGCTCGATCGAGAGCCAGCCCGTCTATAAATACTGCCGAAATTGCATGTATTAATCATCACCTCTACTAGCTAGCTATAGCTCTAGTTCTACTCTAATTGCGCAGTCGATCGAACGTACACTGCCAATCAAATCAACTGCGAGCTTGCAATGGAGAGAGGAGCGAGCTTTGCAGTGGTGATGGCGGCCATGGCGGTGGTTCTGGCCACCACATCGACGGCGCAGGCCCAGACCACGGCGACCGACATCGTCAACATCCACAACGCCGCCCGGAGCGCCGTCGGCGTCCCGGCGCTGTCGTGGGACGACAACCTGGCGGCGTACGCGCAGGGCTACGCGAACCAGCGCGCCGGCGACTGCGCGCTGCGGCACTCCGATCGCAACAACTATCAGTACGGCGAGAACCTGTCGTGGAACCCCTCCGTGCAGGCGTGGACGGCGGCGAGCTCCGTCGACCAGTGGGTGGCGGAGAAGGGCTCCTACGACTACGCCAGCAACAGCTGCGTCGGCGGCGCCATGTGCGGCCACTACACGCAGGTCGTGTGGCGCGACACCACCGCCGTCGGATGCGCCGCCGTCGCCTGCAACGCCAACCGAGGCGTCTTCTTCATCTGCACCTACTTCCCCGCCGGCAACGTCCAAAACCAGAGGCCGTACTAGCTACCGTATACGTATACGTATACGTACGTACGTAACGTATATGCTATGGAATATATTTTGCTACTACTCTAGTATATATTGTACGTATAAATCTTTCTGCTCTCAGTAGATATATATGCGCATATATGTACGAACTACTATGTATGTTCGTATGTATATATGTACGCACATCGATCTGCATGCGTATGCATGATCAGTGTGTTGGATGCAATAAGTACGTCATGATGCAGACGTATTGAGTATCTACAAATACAGATATATATGTATCCGGTGTGTATTTTTATTACAAATTACTCCCTCCGTATTTTAATGTATGACGCCATTGATTTTTCAACCAACGTTTGACTATTCGTTTTATTCAAAATTTTTATCCAAATATAAAATATTTATGCCATGCTTAAAGAATATTTGGTGATGAATCAAGTCACAATAAAATAAATGATAATTACATAATTGTTTCGAATAAGACGAATAGTCTAATGTTAGACAAAAAGTCAACGGCGTCATACATTAAAATATGGAGGTAGTAATAAATAAAGAGCTGTCTGATTTTAGTCACCTGATCCTGCATATATTTGTCGATTTTATTATCGCCAGGTGTTTATCAAAATCGAAGTTTGATTAAGTTTACAGAAATATATAGTAATATTTTCAACAGAAAACAAATATATTATTAAAATATATTTAATGTTATATTTAATAAAACCAATTTAGTGTTTTAGATATTGATAATTTTTTACATAAATTTGTGGTCGAACTTTAAAAAATATTCTATCTTTGATCACTATTTTTTTCATAAAAAATAAAGTTACACGTGCACTGGCTAGTAGCTATATATATAGGTGGGTGCATCCATTGGAATATGGGTAACCATGCTTTCCTGCCGTGTTTTCTTCCTTTCTACCCTGTGACGTTCATCAGCAACAAGTACATGCCCGGATCGACTTAATTTGATCCACTTGATTATTTTGATTAGTAATCGATTTCCCACTGACCAATTCTTACACGTATGTCTAACTAGGTCAGACATCATAGCATGTCGATATTAATTTATCAAATTGCGGAGAAATATTAATAACTTTGTCTCTTATAGGAATATGTCCCCAGCTTGTTGCTTAACTAAATGTCAATCCAAATAATAATCATATATTTTGTTGAAAAATAATTAACAATATAGATCAATATCTAGTATCACTTCACAAACTTTCAAACAAACAAATTGAACTCTAAATAGTACGTACGTACTAGTAGTTATTTTTCAAGGTATATGGTAATGTCAAGAAGTAAATTAGTAATGAGCACTCTAATATTTTACCCCTCGGCCATATAGCTAAAGCTATTTTTTTCTTAGCTACAAAATTAGGTTTTCCCTTACTTTGCATACACTATGAGCTTCCTTGATGCTTTTATTGGGATCGATTTACATGGACACCCTATAGTTTTTTTTTCACCACTTTTCTTTTTTTTTCACCATATAGTTTTTTTAAGTTTATATACCTAAAGTTTATACTTATAGGGTTTACACATCTTTTATAGGTCAAAAGTTTATATACCGATTCAAATTTGAATTTAAATTTAAATACATTTAAAGATGAACTTGAATCTGATATATAAACTTTTGACTTACAAATTTTAGGTCAACAAACTTTAAGTATGTAAACTTTAGATGTGTAAACTTAATAGGTATAAACTTCGGGGGTATAAACTTAGTAAAACAGAAAAGTAAAGTGGTGCCAAAAAAAAAATACCGCGTAGGGCAGAGGAACCGATCGCCCCAAGCAATCAATCGTGCCATAGGAGTTTCGCACCCTATCCTCACGGGCTTCAAGTCTAGCCTGATGAAGGCATTAGATGGGCCTCATCGCCAGCCCATCTATGTAGGCTTGAAATATTAGCTCATACATGCATGTTTGTGGGCTGTAATTCGTTGGACCAGATGAAGCCTATTCAAACTTAGCCCCAATTGGTAGTTTCCCACCATAGGTCAGCCCAGATGTTCAATTCTTTTTGGTAGAGCTTAAAATTGTGAGAATTAACAGATTTGTTCTCAGTTCATGAGAATATGAAAAAGTTAGTTTTCCAAATTTTTGTTATAGTTCATTTTCTGAATTATATATCTACTACAAATTCTTATAATGTGAATGACAATCTAAATTGTTTAGGGAGAGTTAAAGATTCTGAGAGAAGTTGCAGCTGCTAAAAGCTTTTCCCAAATAGACACCTAGGGCCTGTTTGGGGGAGCTTCCAGCTGCTGCAGCTTTTCCCAGAATCAGAAACTCCCCCCCAAACAGTATAGCTTTTGGTACAGATTCTGAGAAGCTATAGTTGCATGGTAGAGCTCCAACTTCTAAATTTAACTCCAGTAGTTGGGTCTGAAGTGGAGTTGTGGAGCTGACTAAACACAGCTCCACATCTCTAGTTCATTTTATGAGAGCGCTCCACCCAGCTTCGCTGCTATTAGGTGGAGCTGAAACTGTTTGGCTGAGCTCCAGTTTTAGGAGAGGTGGAGCTGGTGATGGAACTATGCCAAATAGGCCCAGAATTCAGAAAATGAACAAGAAATTAGAAGCTGGGAAACCAACTTTTACAGATCCTCAAAAGTTGTCTACTAACCAGCTGCTTCTAAGAATCAATTCTTAATTAGTTTCCCCTGGACAGGCCACTAGGACTGTTCCACCACAGCACCACCCAGTCTCTGATTGTATGGTCGTCCTTTCAAATTACATGCAGACAATGGAATTAATTTTCTCATTTATTTTCTTCTTTTATTCGAACGACAACGTACATATATATATAATAAGATCCCCGTAATTATTATTTCGCACATTTATATCATACTCCATACATAGTTAAAGTAAATACTGTATTAATAACTTATTAAGCAGAGAGAGTGAGGCCACGCTCGAAGGGGCGCTCTCCCTGGAAGTTGCCGGCGGGGTTGTAGTTGCAGGTGATGAAGACGCCGCCGTTGTCGCAGTCCACGCGGGCGCAGCCGATCGCCGTCGTGCGGCTCCACATCACCTGCGTGTAGTGGAGGCACGAGTCCCACGACCCCAGGCAGCTGTTGCTGTCGTAGTCGTACAGATCCTTCTCCCCCACCCAGCTGTTGACGGCGTCCGCTGCCGTCCACTCGCTGCCGGAGCCTCCGAAGAGGTTCTCGCCGTAGCCGGCCTTCTCCCAGCTGCCGGAGTGGATGAGCGCGCAGTCGCCGGCGCGCTCCGCCGCGTAGTTCTCCGCGTACGCCGCCACGGCGTCGTCCCAGACCACCTCGCCGACGCCCTCCACGCGTCGCGCCGCGTTGTGGAGGTCCACGAAGTCCTGCGGCGAGTTCTGCGCCACCGCCGGCGTGGTCGCCATGGCCAGAACGACGGCAATGGCTGCCGCAAGTGCTACTCCCGATATCTTTGGTGTCTCCATATGCAACACTACTACACAATTTGCTCTCTTAATCGATTCCGATTGTGTGTGTGTTCGTTGAATGCTGATGCGATATTACTCGCGATCGATCAAGGTATATATTTATAGCCAGATGAGCTCCCAAGATGTCAGCAAAATAAATCGATTATTAATCCTACAATTTGCATGGCAACTTGGCAAGTAGCCATGATGCTTGGCTCTGCTCGGCGAGAGCGGATTAATTAGGATAAAATAAAACTCTCCTGGCCTCACTCTCATTTCTTTTTATTAATTGATTAATTGTTAATGATTTTGTGTTTGGTACATGCATGAATGCATGCGACGTGTTCTTTTTCTTTTCTCCTATTTTTTTTGGGGGTTGCCGTCGTTGAATCGTAGTCATTGGAGGACGCAGCACGTTGCTCATGTGCTCGACGGCTAAGGCGATTATATCGATCCGACGAGGCATGTCTTATCTTTGATTGGTGGACTAGTTCCTTAATTGATTGATCAACTGATCAGTTTGGCATATAGGCTGTATTATTAGTATTTTATATACATACAATATTATTTGGTGCAACTTGTTGTGAAGATATATATAATTTCAGTGTTTCAACAACTAAATTTTAAATATTTAATCAGTTGTAAATGATGATTTTTATGCCATCAGAAAACCCAACCTTAATTTAGTTTATGGAACAAACCACAATGGTTACTGAATAACATTTCTACATTTAGAAACAAAGTCCACCTAAGCATTCGTGATCGGATCAAGGGATCCATCCAAATCATGTGGGGTATGGGTCAATATTTGGTGGGAAATTTCTCCATCTCCATGCTGTCTGAAAGAATTCTATAAGGCCAAGTAGCCAACTTTAAATAATTCATGCATACCAGCAGGTGCAGAGTTTTTCGATTCCTAGTGGGTGTGGGTCACCCTAGGAAAGAAAAACGAAAGATCAATATTCAAGAACGGAAGAGATATGTCAGCAAATTAAGCACATCCTCGTTGCGTGTTTGCTAAGCCTTCATTATTCCAAACAACCACTAGGATCAATATAATAAGAGTAAATTGCATATTGGACCACCTTTCCTCAGTATTTTTTTATAATATATATTAAACCTAGCCTTTACTTCAATCACAGCTACAACCTCTTATTATATGGTTCTTGACACAAAGTCCAAATAGAATAGAATGAAATTTTAGTACGGCCTACCATCCGCAGACCGATGGTCAGACAGAAAGGGTAAACCAAATCCTAGAAGACATGCTACGTGCGTGTGCCCTGGATTTCGAAGGCACTTGGGATCGTTGTTTGCCGTATGCTGAGTTCTCATACAACAACAGCTATCAGGCCAGCATTCAGATGTCGCCGAACGAGGCAATGTTCGGAAGAAAGTGCCGCACTCCCTTATGCTGGAATGAGGTGGGCGAAGCGCTGATATTCGGTCCTGACATACTCAAGTCAGCAGAAGAACAAGTTAAGCTGATACGAGAACGTTTGAAGACAGCACAGAACCGTCAGAAGAATTACGCTGACAATCGAAGGCATGACCTTGAGTTCGAAAAAGGAGATCATGTATACCTGCGGGTATCACCCCTCCGTGGTATGAGGAGGTTTGGGATGTCCGGCAAGTTAGCACCCCGCTACATCGGCCCCTACCTCATAACCGCCAGACGTGGCGAAGTGGCTTATCAGCTTGAGTTACCTGAAGGTCTCGCAGATGTGCACAACGTGTTCCACGTATCCCAGCTAAAGAAATGTCTTCGAGTTCCAGAAGAGCAAGTCCCCCTGGGTAATATCGAGCTGGAAAAGAATCTGACGTACAAGGAAAGACCGATCAAGGTTCTTGAAGAGGCAAAACGTCAGACTCGAAGGAAGACCATCAAGTTCTACAAGGTCCAATGGAGCAATCATTCTGAAGATGAGGCAACCTGGGA